CCCTGCTAAGTAGCTAGAGCTATGCTAGGTTAATTTGGATAGAATGTTCCCTGAGTGTGGTGATGGCTACTTTGGCTTCATCCCCTGCATCCCTGGCCTTATGCAGTATTCTCTCGTGGAGACTGTAGAAGAATCAGAAATTCATCTTCTTCTTCTTTCCCCAGAAGGAAAACTACATGCAAAATCAGAGATGGAGAAATCACAGCTTTGTAACTGAGTTTATCCTCTTGGGCTTCTCCAGAAATCCCAGGACTAATTGGATTCTTTTCTTCCTCTTTCTTTTCCTCTACTTATTTACAGTTATGGGTAATGGGCTCATTGTTACCCTGATCAAAGTAGATGTGCATCTCCATACACCCATGTACTTCTTCCTCAGTACCCTCTCTCTATTGGACCTCAGCTATGCCACCACTACTGTGCCCCAGATGTTGGTCCATCTAGTGAGCAAGCATAAGGCCATCTCTTACGTTGGGTGTGTGGTTCAGATGTACATTTTCCTGACCCTGGGCATCACTGAAACCTGGATATTTGCAGCTATGGCCTATGACAGATATGTTGCCATATGCTCTCCTCTCCACTATGGGGTCCAGATGAGTCAAACTCTATGTGTCCTTCTGGTAGTCAGCTCTGCACTTTGTGGTCTCATCTGTGCCTTCATCTACACAGTCTTTGCAATGAGTCTTCCCTACTGTGGTCCCAATGAGATCAATCACTTCTTTTGTGAAATTCCTGCTGTCTTAAAGCTGGCCTGCGCAGACACATCCCTCAATGACCAAGTGGATTTTATTTTGGGTTTCATCTTGCTTCTAATCCCATTGTTCCTCATTCTAGCCTCATATATTCGTATCTTCATAGCTATTTTAAGAATTCGTTCCACCCAAGGACGGATTAAGGCCTTCTCCACCTGTACGTCACACATCACTGTGGTTACCATGTTTTGTATCCCATGTATGGTCATGTACATGAGGCCTGGCTCTGAAGCCTCCCCAGAAGATGACAAAAAGTTGGCCTTGTTCTACAATGTCATCTCTGCATTTCTTAATCCTATTATATACAGCCTGCGGAACAAGGATGTGAAGAGGGCTTTCCTCAAGTTAGTTGGAAGGAGTGAGGACACTCAGTAAGCCCTAGAGCATGAAATTTGTAGGGTTTCTGGTCTCTCATACTCACCATGGCAATTTCACTGAATTTATTGAAAGAAATAAGGCCTCCCAGGAAGAGGAAGATATCTTGAGAAAACAAAATATTTTCATGTTGATGTACTAATGAGAACATTAGGAAAGGACTCAGAGAAAATATACCATAGACCTTCTGTGATGTTGGAAAACTCATCTAACTTCTTTGGAATTCAATTTTTTAAAATTTTGTAATAGATAGCAAGTTGAAAATGAATTATTTACAAACATAACTGAATATAACAATAAAAACTGTCCAAAATAAAAATGAAGAATTTACATATCAGTCATAATAAGGGGTTTTTTCTTTTTCTTCTTCCTCGAATGCCTTCAGGGCACTTTTGGCCAGCTGGAGAGTTGTGAGGTTCGAACTCCAGGAACCTGAGGCTGACAGCTTTGTGGAAGCAGCCACTTAAAGGACTGAGCTAGGGCCAAGCCCCTTATC